ATTCACCACAACTCTCTGTGCATGGCCATCCAGCCAAAACAGAATCATCTGTATTTGCCTACCATTTACTGCCTACCATTTACAGTATTCTGAGTTTGTGTCTCAGACCAACAACACAGTAATTTATCAAGGAAGCATTGAAGGCCTCTGGGTATCCCAGGAACATAAAGGAGTACTTGTTACAATGGCAACAGTTCCAAAATTAAGTGGAGGATATATTGCTGTTTCGTGGGTCAATCGACAGAAGACAATCAAGAATACATGTCCAGAAATGCATCTAAAAAACTTAGCTACGTCAGGGTTTATTGGAAAAGCTCGTAAAGGAAGGACTGAATTATAAATGGCTTGGTGAAGAAGGATTAAAAACAGAGAACTGAGAGATAAATTACAGCTGCTTAGAAAATGTCTCTTTTACTGAGATGCATTCAAGCAGAACACGATCGTAGGAAGACATCTACCTAAACTGTAAGACATACTGCCATGCTGCAGAAGTCCATAGTCATGAAGTAGATGAACCAGCTTGGCATGAGATTGCCTTGAAGTACATCATAGTGTGTATTTATTTGAAATATAGTTGCTGTATTTGAACTTCATTGCCATATTTTTGCTGTGTCATACTATAATTTTATAGTATAACATATAGTATAATATATAGTATTGCTAAAATTCATAAGGGTTCATTTACAGTGTTCATAATCCTGAGGTTAGATGAGCCTCGTGTGATTGTAGCGTCAAACTTCCATACAAGTTTCATCCTTGTGGACTAATCCAAAAGAGGGTGAAATGTCAGTGGACATTAGCTCACCTAAGCATCATATCAAGTATGTAAATTGCTAACATTTTTGCAAAACATCTGAGTATACCCTATGCTATCCACCAGGGTCCTCATTGATTTTAACTGGGACTATATAGTTTGACAGCTTGAAAATCACTGCAAATGCACTGGACAGTAGATGCAGAGCCCCAGTCTAGGGAGCGTTAGCTGTTTGCTTTTGCAGTAGAGAAGAAGTAATGATGATCCTCCCCACCTAGCACTGAAGTGGTATGAATTGCTGTAATTGCTGTGATTCAGAGCTGGGCAGCTCCAGATGAAGAGAATAAGCTTGCTTAATAGTCAGTGGGCAGGATATGGAAAATTATGAGTCCTGCTTAGCTGTAGCTTGGCCGTCTTCCACGTCGGTAGTATTTTGCATTGCTGTGTATGCTGTTAACACCTTGGTATATATGAATAGTGTGGTCACACTATAGCTGCTTGGGGAACTATAACTCCGAACTGTGTAAAATTTATTCATGTGATTTCCATGGAGAGGGTTTTTTTTAAAATGGAAGATGATTAATTAGAGTAGAAAGGTAGGAGAATAAAAGGTGCAAATGTATGCCTATCTCATCCAGCTGTGCAGTTAGCTTACCTGCGTTTTAGTTATATAGTACCTTCAATAGGATGTGAAAGTAATACAGAAGATCTCTCAGCATGGGGGTTTCCACATATTTGTATTGCAGCCACCAAAGATGTTCAGCAAACCTGGCAGCGTCTCTGCAGCACTCGCATTGCTGATGGCACGCATTGAGGTACAGCTCTGCTGTGCAGTTTTTGTTGGGGGGCAGCAACATCTTAGTAGACCTGAGATGCAAATTATGGTCACAGCTCACACCTGTAATTAAAAAACCGGCATGAATCAAAATGGAAAATACTACAATCCAAAAGTTACTGCTTTTTATGAGAGCTCAACTAAAAGAACTCTTAATTGCCTATGAGATTAGTGGATCTTTAATAGCTTTTATAATCAGTTTAGTTTTTCCTGAGGGCTATCTAATGTTGAACTGCACATTATTAATTACCGTGGAGACCTTCAAGCAACCTGTGTAGACATCTTCACATTTATTTGGGTCTCTGTTGGACACATTCGTGGAATGTGGCTTCATATTCATGGGCTTCTTCTAGCCCTTTTTAACCCTTTTCCTGCATGAAAGGAAGGATGGGTTTTTTTGTAAGCGTTATTTATTCTTACTGTTAGTTATTCTAAAATTCAAATCAACACAGGTCAGAATGTAAAAATTGCTGAGGAAAATTTGGCGTCAGTCAGTTTCATTATTCTGATAGGTGTCTGTTTTCAGATAGGACTGAATGTAGGACAGGAGCTATGTTGAAATAATTAAAAAAGAAGAATAAAGAAAATCCTTCATACCCATGAGATATATGAAGTATCATTAGCAGAGTTAATGTTGTCCAGAATAGAAGTCCTGGGTGTATATGGACTGGGACAATGTTCCACTAAGTCAGGAGTGGTATAAGATGGAACAATTTTGCACCCTTTTACACTCAGCAGATCTGTTGTAGACAGTCACAGTCAACAGGGCTACGAAATGACCCTGAGTGAGCTCTGCAACGGTGGAAAATGCAGTGAAAAACAATCCCTTCTGAATTATGTGCTGCTGTTACTTTGCATTGTAATATTGAATGTATCCCTGAACTGATGTGAAAAGTAGCCAGTGTGCCCCACATATGATTTGGCTGGGGAGTGTAGGTGCAGTCTCACAGGTAAACAGTAAATATTACTCTTTTAGAAGAAGATTTGAAATGGCAGAAATTACCAACAGTTTCACCTTCCCCAGCAGTGTAAGATAAAATGCTGGGATTTGTGCATGAGGAACTCAGAGGTAGCACAGATGATGTTCTAACGTAATTTTTCATTTGTAATGTGAGGGCTTTTGGCCAAAAGTCAAGGCAGGGGGCTGCAGCAGTAACCTCCCAAACTGCTGGGTGAGTTTTGACAGGGCTTATCTGGCAAATTTGCAGTGTCTACAGGAGGGTTTTCAGGCTGGTGGCATGAGTAGATTTCAGATAGAGCAAATGGGATTTTGAAGGTTGCTGCGTTACACTGAGAGGCCTTTGCCATGGACAAATGAAGTGACAAATAGCTTTCCTTAAAGCAAATGCCAGCCACAAACTGTAAATCAGCCAGCAGGGAGGTAAAGCAAGTAGAGACTCATTTCTCTCCTGGGAGAATGAGTGTCATGTCAAGAAAGCCCATGTTTGATCATCCACGGGCCACTTGGATTCTAGCACTGGCACATAAAGCAGTTGTCGAGCTTTGTGGCTTCTTGGTTTGTTGTGGTTTTTTTTAAATAATGAAAAATTAAAACCCCCTGTGGGCAAAGTCTGTCCTAATGTGCACTCTGTCCATCAGCTCTTGTTACTCCACCAAAAGCCTGACATCACCTCTTTTGTGCTTTCTCTTTAGGTCAGAATAACTGCAGCTGCCTTTTAGTCTTGGGCTGTCAGACTGAGCTGAGCACTTCTGCGCCTTCTGTAGCACCGTGGGCTCTTCCCCCAAACTGGTGGTGCATTTTCTTAAGGAAACATAGACTGGAGTTATCTAGAAGTCCAATTTTAAGTGTCAGAGCAATGTAAACGTCTGTATTGTCAGTAAATAAATTCTGAAATTCTTACTGTTAGCAACTGGTGTAAGAGTGAAGGGACGTCTTGCATGTAATTACATTACCAAGGACTTGGTTAGTTTGGTTTAGCCAATCAACTATGTAATACTTTTTATCTATGGAGCAGTTATTTACTTAACTGGCTACATATTTTTAGCTTTTAACATTTTTAATGTCCAGCTAAAACTGTCAGAGGTAGAGTAGCACTTCATTTACCAGCATTTTAAGTTGTTTAGTTACACTGAAGTGGAAGATTAGATAAATGTTGTTTCTATCCAGGAGAGTATTTGTAGAGATGGGTTGTTTGCTGGAAATGACATTAAGACACCCTATAATATGGTGTAATTGTTGATTGTGCCTTTGTGAGGATGTCAGGAACTTTTCCATTGTAATGAAACTCTGAGTTTTTCTTTCTTGCAGCTGAAAATGTAATTCATGTAATTCAGTGTAATTCATTGCACTGCTAAGATGTGAGTTGCTGCTTACAGAAGAGGAATACCTGTGCTGCTCAAGCCATGTGCTGCTTCTGCTGATGGGTATCCATCTGAACTCAGTTCCTAAAATAATGATTGCTTATTCACTTAAGTACAGCAGGCTCCTGTGAACAAACCTGTAGTGTTTCTGCAGCACTTTGCTTTTAGCTGTTTTTGTTATTTACAGTGATGTAGACCAAAAGCAGTTAGGTTGCCTACTTAGACTCCTGGGAGGCAGATCTGGTTGGCAGGAGCATTCTTTTATATTAGGGCTAGAAAGCAACATTTTATTTCATGTCCCTTACTGAAAAAGCTGTGAAGAACAGGAAACTGTTCTGGCGGTTTCAGAGAATGCATTACTGTAGAGGGTAAATAGTTTCCTCCATTGCTCATTTGCTCGTGGAGAGATGCTCAGCTGAACAGGGGCCAGAAATGGAAGTGGTAATCATTAAACAAGCAAATCCACCAGTTGCACTCTCCAAAAAAAATGATGGCAGAACATACCTTCGCAATCCTGAGAGGTGCTAAGTCCTCTGCGCAGGGGGAGGAGGTTGCACTCAGTGCTGTGGGATGAGGATGCTCAGCACCTCACAGAATCCCATGTGGTCAGCTGCAGAATTGGTGCGTCTGGGCATGGGAACTGCCATCTGCAAATTTCTCCCGTATCTGCAGAGCTATTCAGACACAACATTTAAGTGTGATTTGAATGTTCAGAATAGCAGATAGCAGTTAACAGAATGGGTCAAAAGCCACCGTTTTCACCCAGAGTTTTTTTAAGACACATTTCTTTGTGTTCTAGCAGTTGAGATAATAACCCTCCACTTTAGTAATTTAATTTGGACATTCCCTTTAGCTAATTAATTCCATAGGGAAGAAAAATGTTTCATATTTCAATTGTCTTTTTTTTTTCTTTTTTTTTTTTAGGTGAACATGTTTGTGGAAGGATTCCATGATGCTATTCTTCTTTATGCCCTAGCTTTACAGGAAGTCCTGAAGTTTGGTTTCAGTAAGAAAGATGGGGAAAAAATTGTTCAGCAAACACGGAACAGAACGTATGAAGGTAAGAGTTGATAGAGTGTTCCAGCTTTCAGAATCAAAAAAATTCAGGTCTTTGTTGTGTGCAGTGTAAAGACCTGTGCCATTCTTAAATGAAATGAAATCTTGTACATCTTTAAGACTGACTCACATACCTCACCACTCTGACTTTTCTTTGCACTAACCCTTGAAGTCTTATTCAGCTCAGAAAACTCCTAACAATTTAATGACCCCCAGTGATGTTGTAAAGAAATACCAATAATTTTCTCAGCCTCCTTCTTTGTTTTTGAAAAGATTACAGCTGCTCGCTTTACTCATGTGCATCTATTTGCTCTGAGATTGCCTCATTTTTTCCATTTGACTCTTTTATCTTAGGAGCATGGGAATGGATAAAAGCAAGCAGGTGCCAGGTTGTTTTCTTTTATTTCTTGACGGGGCTCCTGTGGCCCCTAGGAGGATTTCCCCCAGCCTCCATTCAGGAGCCGTGCGTGTTATCTCAGAGGCAGCAGCTGAACAGCTGAACTGTGCCTTTCTGTGCCTAATCTTGTAGGCTGCAATTCCACAGTGCAACTGGCACCCTGCTGATGGAAAGTGGTGTGAGTGCTTTTGCCAGGTAGGGATCATAGTAAATAAACTGGATTATTGGATATATCCGTCATAAATGAGAATATTCCCATCCATCTCTTTGTAACATTCTCATCCATCTCTTAAAATACGTAGGGGTAGGATTGGCAAGGTTTCCTATGGAAATGCTTAAGAGAAGGAAACATTTCCCCTAGATAAGAAGCAGACAGTTTATTTGAATGTGTAAAACACCCTTCAGTGGCTGGGTTCTCTGCTCTAAGAACACACTGGATATAGGGGAGGAAAGCAAGAAGGCCATCTGCTCCAAGCCTCTTTTCTGTTCTCAAATTGTGGCCTGAACACAAGGCAAAAGTGTCCCCAGGGCAGCTTAAGGCAACATAGGGATTGCTTTAAATTATGCTGTTTGCAGTCATCCGGTAAGGAGCCCTGCATGAGCTGCAGGTTGTGCATTATGTCCCACTAACTCCCTTCACACCTATGGCTTCCCAAAACACTGTTTTAACCGAGGGAATCTGGTGTCTAAGCATTTCCCTTGCCGTTTGGTTATCCTGTGTATGAGCAGATGCCCCAGCACAGCCTGTCTGTGTTTTCTCTACTCCTGCTCCTCTGCTCCAGGAAGCCACCAGCTGGTGTCCCCACGCGTCTTTGATGGTACCACGTGCTCCATATAGATTACATGGTTGATTCTCACACCTTACGTGTAAAACCAGAGGAAAAAAATGTTCTCTTTCTCCATTTGTAAAAACCAGTTTGTTGTTGTTGACTGACCTGTCACAGCTATTCTGAAAACATAGCTGTCAAGTTGAGCTCTGAAGGTTCAGGTAAAAATGCCATATAAGTCCTATGCTATCTTCCCTCTGTGGCAATGTTTTGCTGGACATAATTTACAGGGATAAAACTGATTTTGAATAAGACTTTTAACTTGATGTCTTTCAAGCCAGTCCTTTTAGGAAAATCACATCCCTTTATTCTACCTGTAAGCCCCTCTCTGAAGTGGATACAGGATTGCAGAGTATGGTCCACGCAGTCACCAACCAGGCTCTACTGCAGGACTGAAGCTTTATAATTCACTTAAACTTTTGCAGGCCTTGATGGTGGGAACTCCAGTTTCATTAACGGCATTGATTTAATTGCTGACATCTAGATATCTCATTGCCTAGCTGCCTCATTTTACAGCCTGCTCTGAATAGGTAACCCATCTGAACTTCAGTGGGATAAAATCCTCATCCAAAGGTAGTTCTTCATTAACGTGGTTTCAAAATTTCCTAAATATGTTTCTTAAGAAAGAACATTTCAGAAGACATTGACATTTCAGATGCTTTGTTTTGATTCAGATGGAAAAATTAAAAATTAGTCTTTCCCATTAAAAAAAAAAATCCCAGTGGGAATTCTGAATTTCAGCAAATTTTAGTACCTACTTTTGAAAAATGAGTTTTGGCTTTCTGAGGCCAGGAAGGTGTTTGTTCCAATTAACATCTCCTGTCAGATCCAGAATCCAAATTGTCATGTAGGCAAGGATGTTGCAGCTCTTCATAGTGGCCTCTTCCAGTGCTTTCACAGCCAATTGGCTGTACCCATTCTGTTTTCCTGTAGTAATCAAATTTGTGATTATTTGATTACTGTGTTGTTTTACCAAAACGTAGATGCTTGACAGTACATCTTTTGATGCACTACGTTTTGAAAATCACAGTAGGTTTAAACATTCCTGACATCACTAAACGGGAAGAGAGACTAGGTAAATGTAGCTATGTCAGTCAGCTGCATATTTAATGTCATTAGGTGTGTTGAGGGGATTTTTTACTCTTGCTGAATATCTGACCTGTCTTTTCTGATTTACAGTCATTAGAGAACCTGATTCTCTACTGTTTTTGTCTGGTAGTTTGAGTAACATGGATGTAAAACAATGCCTGTTTGACTTGCACTGGTGTAAATGGCTATGTTTGGTATCAGGCAGTGGAGGATCACATCTAAGAATATCTGCAGTGATAAAAGCGTACTAGTAAAGCCTTGCAAAGTCTTCATCATAGTTAGGTTAGACCTTCATAAGAGTAAATCGGCATTGTTTGATGGATTTCAAGAACCTGTTTGGCTTACACCACAAGAGGCTGGAGCAAGGCTTACATTGAAAGAAGAGGCTCACACAGAATACAGGGAAGTGTTTTCTCACTGTGACAATTGGAACAAGTTGCCCCAGAGAGGTTGCAGTTTCCATCCTTGGAGGTTTTCAAGACCAGACAAAGCCTTGAACATCCTCTTCTTCTGACCTCCTGGCTGACCCTGCTCTGAGCAGGGGATTGGACTAGAGACCTCCTGAAGTCCCTGCAAACTTGAGTTGTCTTATGGGTCTATGATTTCCAGTTTTCCTAAAGTTTCCTAGAACTTTTAAAGGAAAGAAGTGAACTGGGGGTGTGAAAATATTTAAGAAACAGGACCATATTATGCAGTTAATCCTATGTGCATTTACAGGACTTAATGCATATGTAATGCATAGGTTACCTCTTGTCCACACCTTCTCCAGTACCCCATCAGATGGAAGTGACACTGGACTGGCTGTATGAGTGCACCAACCCTGTCAGGCTGCAGGGCCTAGGGCTGTACCCCTGTGTCCTCTGCAGCACATGAGCTCCTTATTGAGGCATCATTAGATACTTCAGGGTTAGTCTCTCTGTAAATAATTCACATTAAATATATTTGTGTTTTATTCTTGCACACTGGCTTTCTGGATTAATTTTTTCTCACATATTACCCAAACAGTCTCACACATTTGATATTTAAAAAGGAACAATGTTAAGAATTCAGGAATGCAGACACTGAGATGAAATTACAATTTCTTTTGGAATGCCAACAAAAATGCTGGGAGACTGATGAGATTTCCTGTCATATCAGTCTGTAAAAACCTGTCCACTGTTTTCTCATTTTCCTTGGAAAGGCTCAGTATTTCAACTAATTAATTTTCTAATTCCTCACATGCCATTCTTTAGGCATTGCAGGGCAGGTGTCCATTGATGCCAATGGAGACAGATACGGGGATTTCTCTGTGATTGGAATGACAGACCCAGAGGCAGGCACGCAGGAGGTAAGGAAACAAACACCATTGCAGTTGGCCACTGGTGAGTGAGCCGCTGCAATGTAACATCATATCATCTGTTTACTTGGTGTGTACCTGTTTATTTAATATACACATTAAAGGGGTATTTATTTCTTAATCTGGTCAGTCTGGGGCCCAAATCCTTTCCATAAAATAGTTATCTTTTCTGTCTTTCTTAACTTCTTTTCTTTAATGGTGCATGTCTCTCTTCACATGATGCTAGTCTTTAAAAATCTGTAGAATGAAATCTCACATTTTAGCTAAACACTGATAAATTTTGAATATGAGAAATTATTGCTTAAAATGAGTTTATTCTGTTTCTTCTATTGACTGGTAAGAAGATTAATTCTGTAGTAACCAGGATACAATAATTACCCTGGATACAATAATTACCCTGATACATATATACCATGAGTACATGTATTTTAATCTTACTCCGCTGTCTGCCACAGGCAGGAGTGTAGGCCTTGCGTCACCTTGTTTTTCAGGCAGTAAGACCTGAGCACCTTGTTTTCAATGATTAAGAGGTGTTTTAATCAGAGGGCTGTATATACACCACATGCGTGATTCCATCGGACACAGCAGGAGTGGCAGCAGCCAGGCTGTGAAAAACAGTCTATGAGAAATAGCACCAGATGAACACAGTGAATAGCATGACTGGGTTGAGTTTATCAGTACAGACATGGCCCAAACTCCAGCTGTAGCATACACCTCCTGTTCGTTGCACTCTTAGTTGCAAAGTCAGCATCAGCCTAAGCTTTGCTGGCCTCCCCTGTTGCATCAAGCTCACGCATAAAGCAGCAGTAATCTGAGCTGGACATTTCTGTGTGTGGATTTGAATCTAATTATGTTATTGTTGTTGTTAGTAGTGTGGCAGACACAGACTCAAAAAGCCTTTTTAAAAGCATCAGAATGTCTAGTGTTGTGATGTGTAAAGGTGATTTAAAACTGCAGATGCTCCCTGGTGTAGGAGTAATCATCATTAATTGAAGGTAGAAGTACAAATTGGTTGGGCTAACTTTGATTTGAACAACATGTATCTCTTCTTTTTGTTCAGTCCGTTGGCTTTTTATCTCGTGTCAGTTTAATCCCTGTCTCCTAGACTTCCTTCCATTGCTTGTTCACTTGCAATTGAAACCATCTTTTATTTCTTTGATGTTACTTTTCTCCTTTTAACATGTTGCTTATTTTAATTTCCCTCTGCTTTGTTTATGACATTTATAAATGCACATGCTATTAACATATTTCATCAAATCATAGAATCATAGAATGGTTTGGTATTTATCCATACGAGAATGGCTTAGTTCAGCTAAGAAACAGATGAATGGGTGTTTGGACAGAGCTGTTTCCCCAGGTCCGTCCACAGCGTTTAAAGGTAGAGGAAAACACCAGATTACCTGCTTTGACCTCTGCTGCACCACAGACAGGCAGGTTTCTTACCCTTGTGTTGAGCCCTGTAGCTTACATGTGACTAAAGCTCACACTGTTAACAGGCATTTGTTTTTCATATGGAGATACTGAGGAGTAGGGACTGCCTCGCTTGCTACCTTGATATTTGTTCCACTATTTAAGCAGTCTTACTCTTTAAAAATCTATGTCCTACTTGTAATCTGAATCTGTTTGATTGCAGCAGCTTATAGTTATTTGTTCTTCTTGAGCCTTTCTCCATGTTCTTGTGTTCAGTAAGTCCTGCTGATAGAGGACTCTCTCACTCCTGTCTGGTGAATTAAACACTCTCTTAATGAATAGTCTGCTGCCTGCAAATGGTCTCCGAGCTGTTTTCCCTCTGCTTTTTCCAGTTTACCGAATTTGCCTTTATTTTAACAAATGTTTAAAAAAATCTTTTTTCTTAGGATTTGTCTCCTAGTTGAAAAACTGGGAAAGAAATCAGCTCCTTTACTTAGTTTGAAGTCTACTTTTGTGTATCTAACTACTGCAAGTGTTACCTTTTAACTCCTTCCCTTCTTAATGAAATTTAGGTGAAAGATTTGAACAGGCTGGCAGGGGCTTGATTTATAAAACCAGTGTATTAGTAAATGTTTTTTATCCATGGTAGAACAAACATGTCTTTTGATTTGTTTCTGCCATCACTTCTGACTACTTCAGTGTAATGATATTTGGCATTTATTACTGTACTTATATTTTTTGGGACTCTTCAAATGAGGGACTTACTACTGTTAGCACAATTTAGTCCTGCAACTTTGCAGTAGATCCAACATGCGTTATCTTTGATAAAGACTGGATTTACTCTTAAGGACAGGACTGAAATTCTACATTATCTTAATTAATTGGTTTGAAATAATAGTCCATGCTACCAGAATAATAAGCATCGAAGGCCCTTTCTATGTAAGTACCAGCAACTGCAGAAATACAAGGTGGAAAATGACAGGCTCTGTCATAATTCTTCAGAAGATTTGAAGATTTTATCTGAACATGATCAAGTACCTCCAGATCTTTGCAGAACAGAAAAGTTCAGCCTGGAGTGTGTAGTCAGGAGCCTCAGCACACAAGGTACTTGAAGTGATACTTTTACTTAGCTGAGTGACAGTGCTGAGTAGTCAGCACAGTGTGGAGCAATTGAAGAAAGCCTAGGGAGAACAGAATGAATATTCAAAGTTAAAAAAGTTAGGAGCCTGGGGGCAGACCACATAAAAACCTGTGAATATGTTAAGGGGTGTTTCAGAAAGGAAGAGTATTTCCACTGGCAGTTGCATAAGTAGTTACGGATAATCGGAACAGGATAGATATAGGTTACCTGTTCGGGGGAGGCCACTGACAGAAGCGATAGCTAAGTTGCAGAAGAATTGCCTACAGAAATTGCCAAGTCTCCATCTTTGAAGGCTTTTAAGAACAGGTTAGATAAATATCTGTCAGGAATGCTTTTGTTCAGTTGATCCTGCCCTGGGGCAGGGCATACACTACATAACTTCCCACAGACCCCTTCAGTGCTATTCCATGTGATTCAGCATCCTGCCACAGGAGTCCAAGTGCGTGGTGCTGCTCCTCTGTTTGTTTTACTTCTCTAAGTGAATAGGAAAATCTTCTCATTTCTTTTTTTTTTTGCCTAGGTAATCGGGGACTACTATGGAAAGCAGGGACGTTTTGAAATTCGATCAAATGTGAAATATCCTTGGAATCACGGCAGGCTGAGACTAGATGAAAGCCGCATTTCAGAACACACAAACAATACACCGTGTAAATCATGTAAGTTTAGTCACTTAATGCTTCTGCCCAGGCTGTCAGAGAGAGGAATCCATGTGGTGATGCAACATAACAGGCCATATTAAATTGCTTAGTACAGTTGTCCAACTGAGACATCGTGAGTCTGTCTCTCTGCTGACTGCTTGGGAAATTAAGGTCTGGCAGCCCTGGGTAGTACGTGGTCTGAATCACTTCCCTGAACTTAAACATGACAGTAATCATGATGCACAGCCCAGGGCCCTGGAGGCTTTAGGACTTTCCAGGGGCTAAAAGGTAAAATATGTTTTAGCCAGAAAGAAGGATATAATGAAAACCCCAAACAGAGAGTAATCACATTGATAATTAACAGCTGGGGAGCCAGTGCTGATGGGAGCAGTGTTCTCCCGCTGCAGAATGATTTTCCATGCTATGAGAAGGCACTGCAAGGGGCCCAGTAGACTCAGAAAAAACGAGGTCAGTTGAATGGGGCAACACCTGTGAGAGAGCTGGGACCACCCTCCACAGAGAAGGTGTCCTTGTTGAGCAGGACACTGCGAGGAGATAAGGGTAGGAAGATATGGGTGCCTCACTGGCAAAGGGAAATTACTAGTCTTGCAGTGAAAAGGTATCTGTAGCCTGATAATTTTTCAATCCCTGAAAAACCTGTGTGTACACACATGCTGTAGAGACTGTTTTCGGGCTACACCATCTGTACTCAGCATGGTGTGGCTATGCATCTTCTGCCTTGCACACATCTTGATGTACAGACAAAATCCCCTCAAAGGGTCAAACATAAATGAACAGGAGAGAGCAGATTAGTTTCCTTAATATTTCTCTGTTCCTTTCCACAAATGCAGGTAGGCATGGAAAAGGGAGCATGCTGCATCCACATGAAAATGCCATTTTTCTTCAGCTGCCTTGCACTTTGCAGAGTGACGGTACCTACTTGGGCTCCCCTTCAGCCACTGTGTCCCTGCTCTGCCTCTGCTGAGATTTGGAGCAAGGCAAAGCTCATATGGCTTTAACTTGATACAGCATAGGTTCAGAAAAAAAAGGAGCAGCTGTTGGATAATCATACAGTCATTTTAATAAACCTGGGTGATACAGGGTTATGATGCTAAGCCAGGTGAAATGAGTTCGTTTCTGTTATAATGGCTCAGGGCATACTCACTGCTCGTGCCTGTTATGTGCGTCATTGTAATCCCAGTCTGTTATGTTTCAGACCAACAGCATTCCTCTGTATCACATCTCTAGAATTCTGTCTTCGTCTGACATTGATCTTGTGCTTGTTTAACCCCAAGGAAAGCAAGGACAAAAAATAAGCATGCAGAAACTGAAACTAAGGAAGAGGTTCCCATGGAGTCCAAAGCTCTGAAAGGCTTTAGTTATTATCCAATGTTGGTCACTCATTTCTTAGTTGTGTGTGTTTTCCAGTATGTGAATGCAAATAGTTCTCAATATGAACCCTCATTGTTTGTTTTTCCCCTTTTCAAGCAGGTGGTCTAGGAGAATCAGCAGTTACAGGAATAGTTGTGGGCGCCTTGCTTGGAGCAGGATTACTGATGGCTTTTTACTTTTTCAGGTTAGTCCCATTCATTGAAAGTTCCATAAACTCTTTTTACTCATCATCAAAACCTCTCAGCTCGTGGTGGCACATCCTTGATAAGTACCATGGTCATCTGTGGTAACATTCCCACCAAAGACAGCGAACACACTTTGGTTGTCCTTCTGTGTATATCCAAGTCATTTTGTTGACTCAGGGCCTTATCCTGTAACCATTTACATCTCTGAGTAACATTACTTATGGAAGTAATTCAGTGAAGTGCCGTGGCCTTGAAAGCCGCCTTTCTTTGGTGCTCCTGGCCAGCACAATTGTGCGGGCTGTGACCATGTAAGACATTTATATCACTTGCCTGGTACCATGCTTAGTTTTTGGGTATTGAGTGGAATTGTACTGGAAGCTAGAAAGAGATTTCTGTTTTGGTGTAAGAGAGCATTTGGATTTCTAAGCTGTGCATTTAACTTGGTAGGCTGAGGTCTGTGGAGAGTGATCAGTGTTTCATTCCTGTTTAAGTAAAATAATTCTTACACTGCTGATGAGCAAATCTAAGAGAGTCTTGATCCTACACTGACAGAATAAATTTGTTGTACATGTTCAGCATCTTCTATATACTATAATTTATCCTCCTATATTATGGAAGAGAAAAGACAGATAGGAAAATAGAATTAACCTCTGCATATAAGAATGAAATAATTCTATCCAACAAAAATATATATTTATAAGAAAGTTACCAAAATGAAACAAGCAAAAACTGCTTCAGTTCACCAACACACTCCCAGGATTTCAAAAGGTCCCAGAAACAGGATTATTCATCAGGTGCTTACGGCTGAAATTCTGCAGGGTGATTATATTCTTGCATGTGTTTGGTGCTTATATATGTTAGAGAGACAAGATAAATTAACTGGTACTGATTAAAGTTTGTCTTGAAAAGAAAAGAAAAATACAAGTCTGTCTTTATATTGTATGTCGTCAGAGGTTCTTGCATCTTTTATACATTCTCAAGCTGAGATGATGATTTTTAAGTGTGTTTTTTAGCATTGTTGATACTGGGAGGAAATTGGTATGTGAGAAATGAGGCAAAAAACTTATTCTGAGCTGTTATAAAACTATGCAAAGCATTGTTGTAGGAACAGGACTTAACCACTTCGTGATCTGACACAAAGTTTTGGGTTGGAAATCCATGTGAGCAAAGGTGAGTGTCTGTAAAAGTAGACATCACACCTGAGCTCGACACCCGGTCTTTGTGTTTATGCCCAGAGAGAAGAAATTAGCACTTTTCTGGGTGCAGTTCATGTCATCCTCATGCAAGAGCTTAATCAGGTCAGAAGAATGCCTCTTAGAAATGCCTGTTTCCATTGGGTGAAGGAAGCCACAGGTACTCTGTCAGGCAGATCTGCACATCGGAGTCAGCTGAAGACAGTGAATTTCATCCTCCATATCTGGTTGCGCACACTCAAAGCAGGAGAATAACTCCCTGATTCCACCACTATAATAAACATATGAAACATGTTCAGATGTCAGATTTTCAGAAAATTAATACCTAGGAATTGTGTGCCCGGAAGTAATTTGTACCTGCAGCTTCTGTACCTTTCAAACTGTATAGGTACCTTCTGATTACATCTTGTTTGGATTTGTAATTACCACAAATGAGCATGCAAGCAGTTTTGAGTGTGCATGCAAACTGTTAAAAGATGTGAGTAGTAGTTCTGATACGTAGCTCTGACAGGATTTAAACCTAAGAAGCTTCATTTCTAAAATGTGGACCTGCCTTTGCGGATCAGCTACTGTTGTGCACGCTCAGACCTGTGGAGGGATCTGACTTGAAAATACATAAATGAAGTAAAGAATGTAAGTTTTCAAGTTCTTTAGGAGCCTACTGTTAGGGACACAGATGTCTAGGGAATGCTTGGCATACAGGCTTTTTGTCATGCATCTGTATAACCAGCACTGTATGCACACGGGGCTGGACTGAAAAACTGGTCCTGAAACTGAGTAGAAGCATAAATGCATAAAATATAAATGTGAAACTTCTTATGATTTTGGGGGGACATTTGGGTACTAGAGGGCAAACTGAAAGGCAGTCAGAGGGTTTGTTTGACGTATAAAGCAACATAACAGAATTCTTCAGAAGTCCCTAGAGGAAGACACGCAGGAAAAACTCGGTCTGATGAATGAGCAATTGTATTTACTTCTTATCTATCCTCTACATCCCTCTTCTAATTCATCATACTACCTCCTCTGACATTACAAACGTAGTAGCTTTCTCACAGGGAGATGGGAGGGTTAGTCAGTTAATATGTAGTTTCAGTGAGAAACACAACTGAATACAGAGTCAGATCTGTTGTTTGAACTCTGCAGAAAGTGCTCCCCCTCCATATACTGGAAAGAAATTTGGCTTTGATCGATTTAAAGCAGTGATGTGACACAGTTCACATGGAACTTCACAAAAACTTCCTTATCACTTAGATCAGAAATTTTCAAAGAAGCGAACGTCTGTGTCTTGGTGCTTTGAGACTGCTCTGTAGAAATTAACAGGCCTTCTTGAGCCTGGGTAAGATGTTTCGAGGCAAACTACTTTAATCTTTGACCAGGGTTTCACATGCTGCCACATTTCATTTTTCACCCAGCTGTCCCCTACAGGCATTCTTTATAAGGGAAGTCCTGTTATCCTATAGCCGGGAGAAGGGTTTCTCACTCTGTTCCTCTCCTTTCATGCAGAAAGAAATACAGAATAACTATTGAGAGACGAACTCGACAGGAGGACTGTAACATGGGGAAGCATCGGCAGTTACGTGAAGACTCCATTAGATCTCATTTTTCTGCTGCATAAAGAAGAAGAAAAAGAATCCCATTCTTCCTGGGGAAAGAAATAAAAAAAAAAAGGAATTAGGGAAAAGGACACAACCAAAGACATCAGTGTAAAAAGAAGAGGCTCTTGAAGAACTCACTCTTTTAAGCAGTAATTTTGTCTTAATTTCTTTCAGCTCAGGAATGATTTACTAATCATGTTATGCTGCATGGCCTTTCATCTCATGAAAAAAAGAAAATGATGCAGTTTGATGTTACAGGATGTACTTAATACATCAAGACAGTATTTCTTAAGGATATATTAAGGGCAGCAGATCTGGGTTTAGGTGATGGGGAATGTCTCACTCTGTTCCCTTTTTTTTTAACTCCTACCTTAATTGCATATCACGCATGGGTATCAGATATGGTTTCACAGACACAGGTGCTGGTTTGCTGTCAAAAGGAAAAAAAGGGTTCATTTTGAGTATGATCCTGCATCACTGAATCATTGCTGTTGATTATAGGGGATACAAGATTGAGCATATGGAGTTCAGTCCTGGGAGGGAACTGGCACTTGAGTGTAATTAACTCCACTGAGAAAGGCAGGTGGGTGGAAACACACACAAATCATTCTTCTCTTGTTTGTGTAGTGTCACAATCAAAAGTGCTGATTCTTCCTCTTAGGTGCAGGGAAAAACTGCAGTGAAGGATGTGGAGCTTCACAGGTGTGAACTAGCAAGAGAGAAGGCAATTAGGCCTCTTCCATCTTATGTGTGTTTTGTCATGCTCTTTTCTCTCCGCTGCCATCACCTTTCAGAGAGGCAAATATAGCCCAGGTAGAGCCTGCTTCTGTTCCCAGTGAAGTGAATGGCAAAATCCCATTAACTTAAGTGAGTACAGGACTGCATCCAAAATTGTAAATAGGAAAAGTGTTTGTATAGCTGAAGCAATTAAAAAGGGGATCTTTTTTTGTGTAAAAATTACATTCCATGCTACCATTTTATTTTTAGGATATTTTTATCTTGTATTTTTCTATTAAAATATCTATTTTTGCTTTGGTAGGATTAAAAATTAAGGGAGAGAATGTTTTGAAAACATATTTTTTATGATAGAAGCAACATGCAGGGAAAGTCAACAGCTGTAAATACATTTTAGAATGTAAGGGAGGAGAAGTGACTTCATGGATAGTAATGAACTTTTTTGCCCCACTTTCTTCTCCATGCATGGTCAACATGCAAATATCTACTTAAACAATATAAATGCAGTTAACTAAATTTGTATGTGATGATGGCCCTGATCCTGAAAATAGTGAACCTTGCACATGTTAAATAGTCCTACATTAGTCAATGCGACTAATACTCGTATGTGTACAATTAAACACACAAGGAACTATCCTCAGGAGTTGGGGTGGTAAAACACTTCTCTAGGGCTGGCTTTAATCCTGCTGCCATCTGTATCCCTGGGACTTTTGCCATTGCCTCTACCAGGGGCAAAATGGGATCTGTGATGAATTAGCTGCTGACAGGTTATTTTATATTAGACAAAGGAGAGCTCTGCACTTTCTAGTCAACAAATGGAAATGAACAGTACACATTATAAATGTGGTGAATATGACCTATAAAAATAATGTCTGTGAGAAAACTGTGCTATGACTGATTCTCGTGTGTGAAATCTTTTGGTTTATCCTATTCTGATTTCATCAGCAAAGCTTTCTGGCCTCAGCAGTCACAGTCAGACTTCACATGAAAGTTAATCTCAAAACTGGCACTGAAGCCTGTGTTCTCCAAAACTTTTAGGCTCTGAGAAGCCAGAGTGCCCGTTCAGAGAAACCATTTTGGGGTAGCTGGAAGTGAATAAAGAATGAAAACTGGCTCTGTTTTCTTTTGGCTGCCTTTTATTTGTTGATATGGAAACACCCCATGAAGTATTTTCTACGACTTTTTTTCCTTACATTTCACTTATCTCTTAGCCTACACCAGGGTTCGTCACCTGCCCTTGTCCCAGAGCTTCCTGACTGCCAGGGCAGCTCCAGAATAGGGGGTGGCTGTAGACCAGACAGATTTGGTGTCTTTATGACTCACTGTTGTTCACATGGTAGACTGCCAACATATTGTTTCCTAGTCTGGTGCTTAGCTACAGTAACACTGTGGACAATGAACAGGTTTCTGAATTGGCCTCCTTATCTCATGGGCACCAGAGAAGAATGTAGGCTAAAGCAGCATTCATACTGCTGCGGAGCTGGGGGTTTAAAAAGACTTCTGATTAGTTGGTGGAGATTTTTTCAAGCAGTTGAGTTTGTCTAGCCTCTGGGCATGATTCAGGATTGGGTTTTTTTTCGTAATTTCAAAACCAATTTTGATCTGATTTTTGGGTTGCAAATAAGCCTTTCCATATGTTTACTTTCTTTCATTCCACTACTTTGCTACAGAAAAAAAGGGAAGGAAAATTTTTAAATACATTGAGAAAAAAGGGTATGATTTGAAGCATAAACTTTTTTCAAAATGAAGTTTTCTGTGACTTGCTCTGCAGCCTGAACTGACACCCAAGCAGTCAGTAGTTAAGGGAGCAGGGCAGTAGTACAGATCTGCAGTTTCCCTGCGCCATGCACAGTCTTGTCAAGACAGGAGCTTTGGCTGGGACAACAAATTGTTAGGACAGCTTTTTTAATGTGTCCTCTTACTATAAGGAAACATTAAAAAAGGTATAATGAAAGGTCACTTTTCAGTTAAAAAGATAGTAATTTTGATCCTCAGCTTTTGTAGGGTTTTTAATCATGACCTCAAGAAGTGTTTTTACAAGATGTCTGTTGGTGGGATGCTGATGGAGGTTTATCCACAACTTTACATCCCAGCACCTCCCAAGAAAGGTGAACCTTTCTTGCACTTTGGAACATTTTAGATCGATGGGCTAAACCTGTGCACTTTTCCCATGGAAGTGTGGAGATAATTTAAGACATTTCACATAAGTAGATTCCTGTATTGCATAAATAAACTTGCTCTTCTTAGCTGCCTTACACAGGCCTCTTGCTAATAGTTCCCAGGTCTTCTATGAACCATAGATCAAAAACTGCCTTGAGTTTAGATTATTCAGCAGAGATATTCTTTACCAGCTAATGCAATTTTCCTTTCTGGTTCATCTGCATTAGCTCAATGCCACAATGTTTAGGCTTCAAGCTCTGTAAGGGGATGTCTAATCAAAATAATAATAATTGATTCTCAAAAGAGTTTTCAGAACCTACATTTTTGGCTTCAACAAATTGCCTGTGTTACAAACATACGTCTGTATTGCAGATCAGCACAAGGAGAGCCTTGATTCAGCTCAGCACTTCAGAACACAATATATGCTTAACTTCAGCTTCTAAGTGCTTTGATCTCTTGGGACCAAAGGGTGTTGTGATCCTGGCCATGGCTGACCTAAGGGAATCTTGCCATGTGCTTGGATTGGAAAGAGTTTGGCCTCACAGTACCTATTTTTATTCCGAAGTCTTACAGGTGTGCCTGTTAAATTGAAATTGAACTAGTGGCTTCATACTTTTTGTTTGTCAAAGATTAACTAATTCTGTTAACTTAGCATTTTTTTAAATTAGCAAATATTGGTCAGCTTAAATGCTGATTCACCTTAGAATCCTCTTCTTGAGGCTTCTGTGGACAAATTACCTGATGACTTCCAGCCTCTTATCTTCAGCATGTAGACTTCCACTGCAAGTTTACAAAGATGAAGCAACACTTTTGATAGTACCTGTGATTTAGTATGCTGTGACCCACAGCTTTAGAGTCTAGTGCCCAGATGCTTTGTCCTGGGCCATTGGTAGTTCTGGAAGTTTTGTTTATGGAGAGTTTGTATGTCTTGAGTTGTCTGCAACCACCACCACCATCACCAGTTAATTACCAGCTCCTTCTGTGTTGTGCCTCACTGAAGACCAAATCCAGCCAAGTTCTGAGAGCATTCAGTAATTGCTAAAAATTTTGATTGAGGGTGCTGTGCACCTTGCAAGACTGTGGCCAGAATTCTGTTTATTAAAGAGCTGTATTCATTCACTCTTGAAAGTAAATTTTAGTGATCTATTTTCAGTTTGTTTTTAAGAAATGCATTATTGCATCATTTAAACTATGTTACTGTTTTTGTAATGGAGAATTATTAAGGTGTAGCTAACGCTTTGAAAAACATTTGTGCTGGACAAAATAAGAGTATGCTTCCTGACAGCATGTTTTACTGGGAGGTTGATCTCTGATTCATTATTTGGCTTGGAGATTCGATCACACTCTCATCAAGCTGACAAAAAAACCCTGTCATTGGTTCAGTGGAAGTAAACTCAGGCCCTCAATGAAGTGTCTTCAGGCTTCAAACTCGGCATCTTGAAGCAGTTCAGAGTGAATTTCTCTGCTTCGCAGTAGAACAGGCTGCATCAGCCTTAGCTGACCTTGGCTCCAGCACGATTTTCACCTCATGAATGCCATAATGCTCCTGGAAAGCCAAGAATAAACATCAAAGACAGGAAGCTAATAGTCCTGGTCATAAATTTCTTTGGCAATTCAGTCCACCTTTTCCGAAGCTCAAGGCAGTTCCACATCCTTCACTACCCTCCTCTGTGTTTCAGAGTAGCCATGTAGCTGCTCTGTTTCTCTAAATAAAGCAGTTGAGGTTATTTTTCCTCATTTTCTCCCAGGGTAGAGTGAATGCTCTTGAATTCCCTATTTTTTTTTTCATGCTCTCTTCTCTAACTTCAGAAGTACTTTGGAAAGAGACAGCCATTTTCCATCATTTAGTCAGAAATGCTCCCTCTTCACTGAGAGGTGGCTTTTGCATCATTTCAGCCATGGTTTATTCCCACTATGCGGCCCATCTGTCAAGCACAGGCCCATGGCCACATCAGCCATTACCGGAGATCTAGACCCAGAATTGTCCAATGTTGCCTGTCTTTTAAGCAAGCAAAGCTGAAAAATCAGATTGACCAAAAACTTTCTGAAGTTTAATCTGAATTTTGCAGCCGGCATGCTTGCTTTTTTTCAAAAGCAGCCATGGCTGGCAGCATGAATTATGGTTATAGATGTGGTCCTGTTAAAGCTCATATGATTACTGAGCACCACTGGGCTCA